CATCAACAAAACAAGCGTTCGAAACTCAGAGAATAATCAATATAATTTAGTGCTAACCTACGCAAGTAACCTTCTCAACATCAACAACATCCTTCGCAAAAATTTTAATATTCTCTCGCAAAACCAGCGCCTTCAATCTGTCTTTCCGCAGGCTCTACGCGTCGCGTACCGGCGAGAAAAAAGCCTAAGAGGGGCCCTGCAAGCACTTTTTTACTAATTTTTAATTTGCACCGATCCTGACCGCACTAAACGTAGTAACCTAATGAAACTTTTCTCTTCTCAAATTTCGCCTTAGTTTCAAAGTTATAGGCAAATTAAAATTACAAAAACAAGCAAAAAATAACCTCCCTCATGACGTCCTTGGTTGCTTGAGTGGCCGTGAACTAGTGGAGGGATAGTTAGCTCTGCGAGCGCAAACGACTGCCGCACTCCGTGTCGACGGCGCGAGAGGGCGCCACTAAAGCGTGCTCTGGATAGGCTGTATACAGCGGGGGCAGCCAGAGCGGCTCGCATTGCATTTGCCGCGCCATTAAACACTAATTCGGCATGACGCTTGGTTGGCCCTAAACGACAACAAACACAGTGCGAAGATCAGTTCAAAATGGGAGCCATTTCGCGCTGCCGTAACGCGAAAGGGCAAAAACGCAAGACAAAGCTGCTCGCAGAAGGCCTTCGGAACGCTCGGAGCCGGTCGGATCCTCCAGTCCGTAAACGACCGCAGCGTCGACGCGTACATCCGGAACCTTTCCGTGTCGACGCCTGATCCCACTACTCTTTTGTAGTATTCGCCGCCTTTTCCACCACTTGGTGGCGGGTATGTCGACGGGTCAATTTTTGTTTCCGTACTTCATAAACTGCATTTGTCTCTTTTCTGATCTAAAATACTGAACAAAAACTACTTTTATAAATAATTGAAACGGTTCCCGCCACTTATATTTTGTATTTTTACTAAAAAGAAGCTTTTACCGGTTCTGACCACTAGTATGCCCAGGACCAAAGACGACACATTTCGCGCGCTTTCGGTACCACGGGTCGCCCCCGTCGGTGCAGGAGGTTTCCGCGTCGTCCGGTTAAAATATGATGCACTGATATTTAGTTACTCTCTCCGTGCCCGCTGGCTTGCACGAACCCCAAGAGACCTGGAAATCGCACAAAAAGCAGACGCTTAAATATGTTTGCAGGGCCCCTTTACATGCTAGTACGATCCAAAACCACACATGAGGAGTTCTTGGGATCTCGGCCATGCCGGGTGCCGCGGCGCAGTGTGTAGCCACTTGACGGAATCCGTGGAGGCAAAAAGTACAAATTCGGACTTCACCTTTAGGATAACCGGAAATGATAACTGTAACTTTGTTAATGTTGTCTATCTGTTGCACTCCCGGGTATGCAACATGCAGTATATTGGACAGACCGATCTCCCCTTCCGTCAAAGATTTAACAATCACAGGTCGCACCTTAACACACTCCAAAAACTCCAAAATACACGTCTCGGTCAACACAACATAAACAACATATTTGTAACTATACTTCAATCGGGATTTCAGTACAGCACGCGAAAGGGAGCAAAGGGAATCACACCAAATTAAAAAGTTTAACACGCTTCGAGTGGGCATTAACGAGAGCGCCGTCCTGCTTAACTGCTCATATCTTGACCGGTTCACCTCCTCGAAACCCCCACGTTGACGGGAAAACGAACAGACGGAGTCCCCTGCCTAGAGTTCTCCCTGCGCTAGACATCATTACGACCTCGAGAACTGTCTTCGCTCTGGGTTGCGAGATGGGGATTCGGGTGGTGAGAAAATAAAAATAAGGAAAATGGAAGAAGAGAAAAAAAAAAAGGAGGGGGGGGGCATGCTTGCATGTGAGTGTGTGGGTGGGTGGGGTGTGCGGGGGGGGGGGGGGGGGGGAGTGGAGAGGAGTGTTTAGGTGTATAAGATGAATCATCGCGCGTCTCGGTTGGCGCCCGAGCTGCTCCTGTGTCTCTGCTGGCTCTTCTTGGCCCCCCGGGCGCGCTTTTGGGCCCACTTGATTTTGCTTTATTCCCTTGTTTCGTTCTGGACACTGCCGAGCCTCAAGCGCGCCTAACGGGAGGCTGTTTGGGGAGGCATGCGGGGCCCCTTCCCTTACCGCGGTCTTCGTCTACCCATGGTCGATTCTGAGAGGTGGTTTCTCGGCTTTTCTTAATTTTTTTTTTTTTTTTTTGCCGCCGTGTTAAATTGGAGGGCTTTCAACTTTTACTGCAATATTAGGACCTGATGAAAAGCGGTCCCCGCCCGGAACGTCGTCCAATACATACGTTTTAAAGCATTCACCTCCTCTTTACGATATATATATATACAATCATTGGAAGTGCAAAACGATTGACCAGTGCAGCAGTAGCAATGGTGTAATCGAAGGGGTGAGAAACCGATTATTAAATTTAATACATAAAAGTTAGGGAAAAGGAAAGGAAGCTGGCGAAAAAGTGGCCCTTACATTGATCTAATAAATTTAATATTCATTCTCTCTCTCCCCTCTTTGTTTACAATATATATATATATATATATATATATATATATATATATATATATATATATATATATAGTTTTACTACGTTAAAGCACACTAAGTGAACCTAAGATATTTTTAAAACAATCTAACTTGCCTATATTCGATTGTAAATGCTAGTCCCATAAGATGCCACCCTATTCTAGTACAAGGACGGATTAAATATTTAAACGCCGTAAGCTTTGTTTCAGGAGTGAAGGGTAATAAAGTTCTTCGCAGCGACATCAACTTTCTACACAAAATGTGAAACGTCTCGCTTAAGTGAGAAATAATTTTATAACCTTCATACTTGTATTCAATAACTTCTTCTAAAGCATTGAATTCGGGAGTGAATGGAAACAAAGCGGTACCTTGTTCAGCGTTGTCATTAGCACGCATTTCTTAACTTTCAAGTGCATTTTCAGTGTTGACACCACACAAAATCAATTTGAAAAAAAAATCATGTCAATACTTTTCAACAAAAACAAAAGCTATTTTTGAGAATAGTATACGTTCATCTGCATAAAGAAGAAAAAACGACACTGTATCGGGGGTTGATGTGCATCACATCTTAGATAAGGAAAGCAAATGTCCAAGCACCGAGCCCTGGGCTAGTCCAGGTAGAGCTGCTAATTCAATTAATTATGGTTTTCCAACAGAGAAGAACTGTATATGGTTGTTAAGGTAAAATATTGACCATTCCAGGATGCAATCATTATCAAGTACCTGCTTCGTCTTATGCTATAACTTTTAATAATGCACTCTGTAGAACGCCTTTGCGAAGTCTAAGAAAACCACGTCAACTTGACCAACATTAGCAATTACTTTAGCAAAAATATGAACCATCAGAAATTGTGCTACTGTCGAGCATCTTCTACAGACACTATGTTATTCGTATATTAGAAATTTTGTAGTTTATGGAAAAGTTATAATGGTCTTTAAAATAACATATTCAAGAACTTGTATAAATGCACGCACTAAGACCACTGGACTATAATTGCTAGCACCCTTTTTCGCTTCCCTCTTATAGATAAGCACACATTAGGCTGTTTTCCAATCAAGTGACAACGGACCCTTTTTTAAACTTCAAGAGTAAATCACGTAAAAGAAATCTTGGTGGAGACCATATATATATATATATATATATATATATATATATATATATATATATATATATATATATATATATCGTGTACTATCTTTAAGATATGATGGCCCATGTTCCATGTCTAATTCAATGTGAAATAATCAAGGTAAAATAAACACTCTCAGTCTCCATAAAACTGGAAAGAGCATGCAGTGGGCCTGCTGAATTCCTGACGACCTTCCATGTTGTAGGGTTGGCGGAGCACCCTGTTTGGGGAACTAGCCGGGGCCTCACGTGACACGTGTGGCGAGACTAAATGACGACAGTGCTATGGTTGCAGAGTTGGACGGTTGCGATACGAAGCTTTCGAGGTAGTGAAAATCGCATTGCTGTGGCGTTGCTAACTTTTTTTGCGTAAAGACTCAAGAAGGTTGTAAACTCCTGGATGCGTAAATCAAGCTCGTGTGTTACTGCGACAGCTGTCAATGGAGGCATGACTACATCGGCTGTAGTGCCAAGGGCAAAGAAATCAAACACAGGTAATTAGTCAGTGTCAGAACTGTTCAAATGGAGCTGATGCTCTTTACGGCTAATGACGGCATCTTTGGACCACAGAAAGTCTCAGCCCAGTATAATGTCAGTCACACAGGTAGAGAGAATTCTAAATATAATGACTTGCCTATTCGAGTCGCGGGCGCTTAGTGGATTCAGCAGCCAAGAGAACTAACTCTCTGTTTTTTATGCAGAAATAGTGTCCAGGTGCTGGCGTCAATACTATTCGTAAATGGCGTCGCAAATAGCCAAATATACAGGATCTTGAGGCACCATTGTCAACGAGATATTCAAGTTTTAATTTATCGATTTTAACAGGAACAGAATTTGGGTGATCTGTAGGAAGATTTATTACGCAATTTTGTAGCGCAGCCTGGCGTCCGGCGGCAGCGGAAGCTGCAGGCTCTTCTTTGACGTCGCGTTTGACACGGCGGCTGCATCGAGGAGCGACACGGAGCACCAAGGGAAACGAAGACGGCGATCGACCTGTCCAGTTGTCACACTGAAAAAAGGGACCTGAAGGCTGGGCGTCAAAATAATGTTTGTTGTAATCGGAAGCCCAATATGGATGAGGGTGTGGGATGAACCGATGCTTTTCGGCATTCAGGCGATGGCGGCAGTAGCATGCGATGTTGCCAAGCAGCAGAGAAAAGGGAGGGGTCGCTGGTCATTAGTTCTGCACATGTCCCCTCCTGGAGCTGGTGCGTAGGATCGATTACAAAGAAACGTTATCATAGTTAGCTAATTCAAGTCCTCTATTCTTATATAATTGACCCCTGCAGCCACGATTCAAATAATTATGTTGTGTCTGTGTCTCGTTTTTCTCCCCTTATAGGTAGACCAACTAGCTGCAGGCCTGGTTTCTCTCAAACTTCCTGAGGGTTCCAGGGTTGCCATACTCGTTCCAAGACTCTACGAAGGGGCCCAGCTACTTTATGCGGCGTCCAAGGCGGGACTTGTTATGGTAAATGCGACTACGTTGTTCCGTTGCACATGCTTGCTGCATATACCATGCACGCAGCAACGAATTTTGGCTCCCACCTTTTCTGTTTTGTAGGTTGGCATCAACACATTCTGCACGGTTTCGGAACTTGAGTTTTGTTTGAATAAGGTAAGTTGTCTCCAGCTGCAAGCTGTTTGCTCTGCTGCAACATTGAAGATAAATTTAAAAAAAGAGCATACCGTGACAAACATTTCGCTGAATGCCATCTAAAGCTTAAGGTGGAATGTGGTGTCAAGACTCGATATCGCCTGCTCCTAGGCTACTCTTCCTCCAGGTGTAATGGGCCATACACATTTCCAAAAACGCTCCTAGGCCGCCGCCATGTGGATGATGATGTTACAGCTGGTGCGATGTTCGCTCACCTTATCACGTAGCCATTTTGTGCCAGTATATTGGACTGTTAAAATCTGCTCATCGCGATTCTCTGCTTCTGTTTTGCGGTTTTAAATTCCAATTTACCTGTCCTCTCTTGAAAATGTTCGCTTCATTTTTCGTGCGCATGCAGCGTATCCTATTAGTGTCATATTTTTACTGCGTGAAAGTGGGCATGTAAGTCCATGTCATTCAAGCGTTTCTGCTCGACATTCCCTAGAAACGAAGAAAGGAAAGAACGTTGGAAGGCCTTTGACACTATTTTGCGATCAATGACATCTTGGTTTTCCACTCTCAGTGTTAATCCACGTAGATGTCATGCCAGTCATCAACAAAAATATCAGTTCGGCGTAATGTGGGGAATCAACGTGTCGCGTCCGTCCCTTTGCCTTGGTGCTGGTGTTGTCAAAAAAAGAAGCTCTCCAAAATAGGTTATACAACACGATAACCTCTTGGATTCCATCCGATTGTCGATATGTGACATTCGTTGAAACTGTAGTGTTGTGTTTGATATCTTTCTACAAAAATCATGTTTCAGATAACAATGGCCCGTTACATAGGAAAACGTTGCATAGTAGCGATGCAGATTAAAATCTCAATTCGATCCTCAACAACCACATCATTGTAAACGCAGTTGTTGGCTACGTTAAAATAAATGTGGTCGTAGCACATCAAATCGAGGACGCACCAATAACACGCAGACTGTCTTTCCACTTCCTCCTCTTCTACCCGTCTGCTACCAATCGAAAAAGTCAAATCTTTATTCGATTAGCTACGGTCTCATCCACGTAAACACACCATTGGCCTTTGTGCGATTTTTGTCTGTACAGCCACGCAAAATATAGGACGGATAAAAGGAGACGCATGTATGACCTAGTAATGCCATAACAACAGTGGTAAGCCTCACCGCCGCACGATGACCTTTCACAATAAATTTTACAGTGACCGCGACCGGTGCCACAACCAATATACCGAATCTAGTGGTAAAAACGTGCGGCTCAACCTTGCCCTACGCGAGTCCCTAATCCCTAGGTCCCACAGAAGTGTCACACGTCCTCAGTAAAGCCCATTGGTGTGTTTGTCTTGCACGCGTCAGTGAATAATTAAATACCCCAACGCACGAGCCCGTGCCTCGTGCAAAACTTGGAAGCAAATGGCGGCGCAGCGAAAAGTAAAAGGCAATGAAGTGGCCTCTAAAGGAAACTGCGGTACCTCCCTCGCTTGTTGTCTCGCGGTACGTTTTTTTTTCCGCTTTCGCCAATAGTGGTTGTCGCCACATGTAAGCGTGAATCCTATACAGGGATTTAAGCTCACATCGTAGAATTTGCTTCCCTGGCGTATATCGCCCGCCTCACACTTCTGTCATTTTATTTTTGGCCATTTCATGTTTGCAGAAAGACATGCGCAGCGGCGTACTGATTGTGAGGGCTGAGGCTATGTGACATTTAATTATCGGTCTGCGTAGTTTTGACGGTGTCGCGTGAACGCTGGAAGAAAAAGGAAAGGAAGAAGAAGATCGAGCTGGAAAAGAAAAAGAATGTCACCACGCCTCGACGGAGCCGAACATTAAAATATATATTTCGACGACCAATCGAGCTTCGTCGCACTTGGCGCCCGAACGGGGACTCCGTAATGAGGTAAATTTATGTGGGGACGGCGGTCATTATCAAATCGCCCATTGAGCTCTTCGCATCAACAAGAAGGCTTAACTACAACGTCAGCAACGATGGATGAAGACGGCGCAAAAAGCGGCAGTGACTCGTCGTTGCAAGCTAAAGTTGAGGCGGCAGTTGGACGGAGGGAAGAACTTCAGCAGATCCTTTCGAGGAGGGACGAAGAAATCGCTGAATTGAGGCAACGCATCACAGAGCTTCTTAGCCGACAACAGACTGTACCCGCACCGACGCCTGCCTATTCTGCAAGTGCTGCTGGGGATAGCGCTTCTCTGAAAGCCATGGAGACCCTGGTGCGCGGATTACTGTCCCCAGTCATCGAGAGACTCAACTGCTTGGAGGCCGCGAGCTCGAGAAGCAACTCTGAAAGCAGTGACGAGGGCTCCAAGCACCAAGGGCAACAGAATAAAATATCCAAGAAAAAGAAACGGTAGCAGCGGTCGCTGCATACCGAACTACAAGAGAGCGTTCCCAACTCATGCACCACATCTGAAAGCAGAGACAAGGTCTCGAACCAGCAAAGCCAGGGGAGAGGACTGGGAGATACCATCAACCATCGAGTTCAGCCATCCACCGCGGCCGTAAGTGCAGCTCCCCTCCTTGCCACGGACGTAATTGGTTGGTTCCATCAGGTCGAATTTTGGCTGAAAATTTACGGGCTGCCGGAAGATATCGCACTCCCGCTGCTCATATCAAAGCTACCTTCCAAAGATTTTGCTTGGATGCGCTTCGAGCTTAACTCCAAGAAGATGAGCACTTGGAATGACGTGAAGTCCGCGTTTCGGCGGCACTACAATTTAGAAAGCCCTGTGGAAAATCAAAGACCAATGTTCGCTCGAAGACAGACCTCCACAGAAACGTGCATGGAGTACGCTATTCAGAAGCTGCAACTGATAGAAGAATGTGTCTTCACAGGAAGCGAAGCCGAGAAGTGCGAATTGCTTCTTGAATCGCTGAACGACAAGGCAAAGTGGATGTATTTCGATAGAAGCTTCACATCGCTTGATGACTTGCTCGACTCTTTTATGAAGTTTGATCGGGCAAGCGGAAAAGCCAAGAAGCCCGAAGAGAAGTCATTAAAAGTTTCAAACTTCCACGAAGGAGGGGCCGATGAGCTGTGCAGTTTCGTCAAACATGATCGGCAACAGCAGCCTGGGGAAAAACGTCAGGAATACGATGCAGCGAGCAGTGCGAATGACAAACCACGACCAAGCCTGACCTACCAAAGGGAATTCCGTCGCCAGAACAATGCAGCCCAGACCAAGGCTCAAGGATCCCGTCGGAAAGTACTCAAGCTTTGCCTAAACTGCAAACAGGAAGGCCACTTCGTTACCATACTTGGGTAGTAATTCAATTACAGTAATTAAATTACTGTAATTTAATTACTTTTCCTGGTAATTTGTAATTGTAATAATTACTTTTGGCTAAAGGGAATTGTAATTGTAATTTAATTACTTTCTAGCGTCAGTAATTGCTAAATTTCAGGCACAATTACAATTACTTTTGCAAGATTTTGTGGCGGCGGCGCTTTTCCCCTCTGGCCACGGAGACGACAGCACAGCCAAAGCGACAGGGGAGAGAGCGTCTCCCAACCTGCTAAAAAAAATGGAAAAGAGGGGTGGGAAAGAGAGGCTGGGATAGAACGGAATGAAGGATTTTGTAGACTGTAAAACGATTTAATGAAGAATTTGAGAAATAATTTGATAAATGAGGGCTACATTCGCGTCCGTTTTCGTTCCTGTTTTAGTTAAATCTGACTCTTCGTCTCGTTTGCTTCCTGTTGCTCCTGCTTCTAGGGGTCTTTCTTATTTCTCATTCCCACACGGGGGCATCGGAGGTCAAAGTCGAGCTGGTTGGCTCCGATCACATCATCCGGTCGAGGCGGGGAGGTTCGAGGTTCTCCTTACGCGTCTTCGCCGCAAAGCATATTAGCTTACATATTTCAGTCAAGTTTGGGGACTTTTTTGTTCATGAAATTATTCTCTTTTCTTTATGAGTTTTTCACGTCCTTCTCCTCTATCTCGTATGTTAATACCACTAACAGTAAGTCGTGCTACTCTAATATCGAGGCGAAGAAGCAAAGAAGCAGCAGGTCTCATTAATACGACTCACCCTGCAATACTTCCAACTGTTGTTGCTACACTGCTCTTCCTTCTCCCAATCCTCGTCTACCTTTTTGTATAAATCTTCATTATTTAGTGTTCGCTCTACCTAACCCTTTCAACCGTTTGTCAGCCTGATTGGACGAGATTCCAAAACCTTCAAACCGCGGCTTTAGCTGTAGGGAGCTTGTTTTTACATTTGTTGTTCGTTGAAGGCTTCTTTTTTTATAGAGGGCTTTGCTTGCGCTTTGTTTTTACACCTCTATCGTGACCCTCCACGCGTTGTCCTCTAGTCTTGGCCTGTGGAACCGCCCCGAGGCGCGCAGTGCTGCTTTGCATTGAGAAGCTGCAACAGTCTTATCTACAATGGAAAACGAAAGGCTGCCGGGGCCTTGTTGCGAAAAATTCTTTAAACAGATTAGCAGCAATGTAAAAATATAATCGTGAGGAGCAAACTCTCCGCACCGTTTCTGAAAACAAATTCAATAAACCGAAAGGCGACCTCCAATTTGCGGAAACACTTGCAGGTAGGCAACTTTCTTGTTACTTTGAATAATACTTACAGTTATAAAAAAAATAATAATATTATCTCGTCTAGATCTTCCAGCTGAAACACGCCCAAGTAAATCGTGAAATCGAGGCGTCCAAGAGGCCGGAGTTTTGGAATAATTCGCGGATTCTAATTTTCGCGACGCGGTGCGGTCGCGATATAGATTCCAATGTGTTTACTTTTTTTTTTCGCGAATTGTAGGCGATTCGCGAAATTCGCGAAAATAAAGTCGTTTGCAGTGTATCATGAATTTTTCGAGGTTGTTCTTGCCATGCTAAATTCAAATCGATCTTCTTTATGAGACGCATAACATCGATACAATCATTGCTATCCTAATGATTAGCTACATGACGATCCTAAATTTATTATTTATCTCGGGAGCTTTTTGGGTGTTACCGTGCACTGAATTGA